ATCATTAATTCAGGCGCTGATACAAGTCAATCTTTAAGCATTATTTTACTTTTGGAGAGAGAGAATACCATCCCAAATATGTTTGCATTGTTGTTTAAGTTAGTTAAATTACATGTTGGTATGATTCCTATCAGTTTTTATTTCTGAGTTGGTGAGTTTAAGGTCACAGTGTCCTTTTAACGATCATATTTTTTTTTACAATGATCTGACCTTGAATATTGTATTCGTGTTAGTTCTACGAGAAATTTGTTTGGGTTTGTTTATGTGTGTGCAATTATATGTCTATCTATCTAAATTTCCTTTATATGACCTAGTCGATAATAAATAGACTTAGAATGGGTTTATAGAGAATGATATTTTGCTTGTTTAATTGGTTGTAGAGATATGAAACAAGAAATAATAATTTAGTGGATTTAATCACCATGTCGAATAAACATGGATAAAACTTAATGAGGAACTATTACTGAATTTTAAATTTAAATAGAACCCTTGAAATCAAACTTTTATTCGATTTTTGTGTTCCATTTTATCTTATCTCCGATATTTTATCTTATCATCAGATCCTAGCAGAAATTTACTGGATTATTTAGTTACCAGAATAACTTCCACATAAATTATTGTTATTTATTATATATAACGAGTTAAAATTCTTGTGATGATGTTAGTAGTTGGAATATGAAGTTTAATAAATTGTACGGAACTGTGACTCAAAAATTATCCAGTTTAAGTTTTAATGATTGACTTATTAACAACTCAAACTTTGCTACTTATATGTCCATCTTAATAACTATATATCTTCATTATACCTAGAATAGTAAATGTACACTGACTTGGATTTGATTACTAAACGGTGGTGTCTAGTGGTGAAACTGTTCATCTCGCAATCACTAAGCCACATGTTCGAAACCCACACCATATTGTGTCAGCATCAGAAGCCGACTAATGTCATTGGTTCTCACATATAAAGTATCCCCAGAAATCTGAGTACATAAATCAGTACTTGATAAACAAGTAGTTGTCTTTTCCTTATTGAGTAAAATCAAAATATTTATTTACTTTGATTCTGTTGAGCCATCGATTCAGTATTATGAAATTGTTTCTAAGCCAAATGAATGAGCTTATTCTATGTTATCAATTTACCATACCTTTTGATGGAACTTTATCACTTCAGTGATTATATTATATTATTTTAAAAAATGTACGATGTTTATGGAAAACAAAGAAAAAATATGATTTCATTGTTTTAGTTATAACTTGAAATCTCTGATTGGCATCATGTGTTAAAGTTACTAATTAGAATTCCGATCATAATTTTTTCTATACCATATCTACTATTTCTTCTATAGCCTTAATGTCTTAGACTTGACCAATTGCACTTCTGATCTGCATCGTCAACCATGATGTGACGCAACATAAATTTCTATCAGTCCTCTTTACTCAAATCTTTCCCCATTCTTTGTCTTGAGTCCTAAGAAAAGTCAGTAGGCAACTTCTATTATATACTTGGTTTCATTGTAACTCAAAACGCATACAATAATGTACTTGAAATCGCTGAATACAACACACCAAATAGGAAATCATACTCTATACCCAACCATCCTGTAAGTAGAGGAGAGCAGAGTAGACAGGACATAATTAGCAATAAGTGAATAGTAAGACACATAATGCGACAGTTAGTAGGTTCACTGCGAGCCTACAATAAGGGTATTATAGAAATGCTAAAAAAGCGGTTATCTACTAATTACCGAATGAAAGTCCAAATAACAATCCAAAAAATTGTTTCGAGATTTCCATCTTTTTCAACGTCTAACTCCTTATTAAAAACATTGATTCTTCAATTCAAGTTACTATACATATATAATGGAGATAATGACCGACCGGTTAACATTATTTTTGAATCAGTAAACAAAACATCCACAAGGAAAACAATTTTTCACGATACTTTAAAAAATAATTAGTATAATTTGATTGTCGTTGCTTCTAACATGACATGAGAAATATCTGCATTGATGTTACTGCTACTAATTTTGTAGTAAATAAATCTAAACTGTTAGCTATCGAATTAAACTGTCTTACCAACTGAAACTTAAGCTTCTTTATACAGTTAAAACCAGTTATAGGACATTTGGTAGTTTAATTTTATCTTTTCAAAGTGTTGTTAGCTTGTAACTCATTTTAGTCAAGATTACTTAATCTGCCTGATAATTCACACCCTAATCGTATTGATCCTTGCATGTGGTTTTCATGGATAACTTACACGCATTACTATTAATTTGATTAGTTCTAGTGTAAATGAGAGAATGATTCTTAAAAGGTGTAGATATTGGCGTTTTATTTAAATTTTTATAATTTTTACATTCCATACAAGAATTAATTAGACCTAATTCAAATTAATCTAATTTTCATTGAAGCTATAGTGATTTAGTATTTTATAATGATATTAATATTATAATAACTATTTTAAATATAATTCGTTGTTATTCACATTATCAAATATTGTTGACTGAATTGATTTGTATTGTTCTTTCATACGTTATTGATATCAGTGTACTTGTTTATGGAACGCGTGAAATATCGTATCAATAGAGTAAAATGTATAAACTGTGAATATAGTTAACTTGAAATATGAAAGTGATACATAAAGTAAATGGTAATTAAGAAGATGAGGGATCAAAACAACTTTTGTAATAATCCAATTTATCAACATTTTAATTATTCTTTTGTTGATATTCTCAACTAAATTTTTGATCAGTATTAGTTTGTATTATATATTCATTCTGTAAGAATGGTGGTGACTTTTTGACTAAGGAATTGACGACGTTGTTTACAAAGGTTTGGGAACTAGAGAGTGTGTCGTGGAATGAGTCGATAGTTGTCCCTATCTTTAAAAAGGGTTCACGTCGTTCCTGTAACAACTATCGGGGGATAAGTCTACTTCCGATTGCGTCCAAGCTATTGGCTTCCGTCATACTTCGTAAGTTGTTCAAAACCCGAGAAAGATTGACTCGCTAGGAGCAGGCTGGGTTTCGTTCTGGTCGAGGATGTATTGATCATATCTTCACCCTCCGCCAAATGTTAGAACACCGCCATACTTATCAAAGGCCAACAATCGTAGTGTTTCTTGACATCAGGGCTGCCTTCGATTCGTTGGACAGGACTGTTCTCTGGGATTGTCTATTGAAGAAGGGTGTGCCTGAGAAGTTTATTAACATCCTAAAAGCCCTATATAAAAACACCTCAGGCAGAGTGAGGGCATACAACCACCTTTCTCCATTGTTTCATTCGAACAGTGAGGTTAGACAGGGTTGCCCAATCTCACCATTCCTCTTCAACTTTGCCATCGATGACATTCTGGAAACAGCTCTGATGAATGTAAGTAATGGTGGTGTGGATCTGTTGCCTGGAGAAAGACTTCTCGACCTTGAGTATGCGGACGATATTGTCTTACTGTGCGATAATGCCCAAGGCATGCAATCTGCACTTAATCAGTTGGCAATCAGTGTCCGTAGGTATGGTATGTGCTTTGCACCTTCGAAGTGCAAAGTACTCCTACAAGACTGGCAGGATTCCAATCCTGTACTCACCCTGGATGGTGAGCAGATAGACGTAGTCGAGAAGTTTGTGTATCTGGGTAGCTGCATAAGTGCTGGTGGGGGTGTGAGTGATGAGATCAATGCACGAATAGTGAAAGCCAGAGCGGCTTATGCCAATCTGGCCCATCTATGGCGCCTTCGTGATGTTAGTCTGGCCGTAAAAGGTCGGATCTACAACGCGTCGGTGAGAGCAGTTTTGCTCTATGCTTGTGAAACCTGGCCTCTCCGAGTTGAGGACGTTAGACGACTCTCTGTGTTCGATCATCGCTGTCTCCGAAGGATTGCTGACATTCAGTGGCAACACCATGTGAGTAATGCAGAGGTTCGGCATCGTGTGTTCGGGCACAGAGACGATAATGCAATTGGTGTCACCATCTTGAAACACCGACTTCGGTGGCTTGGACATGTTCTACGAATGCCGTCTCAGAGAATTCCACGTCGTGCATTATTTGCCGACTCTGGGACTGGTTGGAAGAAGCGGAGAGGTGGTCAGTGCATGACATGGTGTCGTGGCATGAAAGAAAGCTGCAAAGGACTGGCTTGTGTTGGTCCTTCACGACTCCCTGGTTGGGGTCTGAGAGATGATGGAACACAGTGGCTAGAGACGTTATCAGATATGGCTCAGAATAGAAGCCAGTGGCGATCCTGCTGTAACCTTCTTTTACTTTCTTCATAAAAAGTGGTTCTGTCTCCCTTACCTGAAAGATTTCTTCCGATTGTACCTTTGCGTTCCCTGATTACTAGCACATTACCTTACACCAATCTCTTCGTTATTGTTCTCTTTTTTTGTTGCACTCCTTAGCTTTTTTTTTCTTTCTTTGTATTCCTCTCGAATTTTCATTCTTTTGTGTGGCGCATATATATTGGCGCTCTCTTGTACCAATATTCATGTGTCCAAATAATAATAATAAGAGGAATATCAGTAATTTGGGATATTTTAAACCACTTGCAAATGGAATTTAACTCATATCTATTGAAAAAAATGCTATTGATTATGTGGACTCAATTGTTCATGGATAAACGTGTTGGGTTTTTTGAAAGTCAAGGTACACTGATACTAAATTCCAATGTGGATATCGGTACTAGGATCCTGGTACATTCAGCTTACGAGTCTTAAGTAGAATGAAATATCTAGATTCCAATGTTGCTAGCTACAATCTATCTACTTTATATAACCTTTGTAGTAATATAAATAAAGTATATTAAATTAGAACCATTTTTATAGTGATGAATGAAATCGGAAAGGGAAAGAGGAGAAAGAATAAGTAAGTGAAAATAAGATTTATGGACAAAAGTTATGGTAAGCAAAGGCGAGGGTATATCTAACTAAATACTTTCTTTGTTAATTTATACACTGATGTTAACAAGTGATCCGACTTTTTGTTGTTGTTTGGTTTTATTCTATAGGAAAATCTACTCTTGCAGCCACGTTACGATGTTCCAGGATCGGATATATCAACTGTAGTTCTTACTGAGGGTGCTGTACTTGGTCATTCCCCACCAGAATATCATAGAGTTGTATCTCCTTTTTCGTCAGTCGTTTCATGATCTGTTTCGTCATCCCACTCTTATAATAATAATAGCTATTGTTTATGGATGTGTATTCCAAAGCACATATACCACAGACACAAATATCTATTCTTTTATTCAGATTTTGTTATGAGTAAAATACCGTTATTATTATTATTATCTCCTGTCTAAACAGTCAGTGATTGACGATCGTAATGATGATCAGCTTGGATTATAGGAGGATGATTTGTATGATTGACAGAAGATAATTCAGTTCAGTTATGTTTACTTTTATTTATTGTGCTCAGATTTATTTTTTATCCTTCTTGGTGTTTTTTTGTCTATGCTGGCTAATTTCTCACGTGAACACATTTCAATAAATACATTAGTATATTCTATATTCTCAATTTATTTATTTCACTCTAGTTAAATTAATTCTGTACATTTCAAGAAGTTTATGTCGGCAACCATTACTTATTAATAGTGTTCAGTTTTTTTTTTTTTGCATTCTAATGTACACATATGTTTGGATTTGTGCCTATTATTCAAAGCAATATTAGTTTTTGTTGGTCTATTTCAAATCATTTCTAACACCATGTCTATTTGTGATGTTACTGTCTTTTTCTACGATAGTTATTGATCTATTTCATGATGAAAGCTAATACAATACAATCCATTGAAATAAGGAGGATGTAAAAAAAAGTATGAATTCAGTACTTAATAGACAAATTGTTTGTTCCAATTTATTGTTATCATTATTATTTCAATTTGATCCCATTTATCTTGTTATCCCATGAAAAATTATTTATATCTAGTAAAATACATTTGTTAGATGGTTATTGTTGTTGTCTTCGTTATAACTTTTGTCTTGTTCAACCTCGGTCGTTGTTGCATTATAAACAATATTGAAGAGTTTTCTTTTGTTTACTAGGGTTTGATATTGTTTTACTTAAAATGTTAACATTTGAGTTTTCTATAGTTCGCTGGGATTTAGATATACATCTTTATACGCTAAACTTGATTGGTAACATTTTGAGAGACTATAATCTGTTCTGCATGAGATATCATAGTTTATAGAGCTTTTTTTATTGTGTAATTCTGTACATAATCGATGATTCGTTTTATTGAAGTTTCGGTACTAAGTATTCAAGATTGCTCGAGGTAATAGTTTAATAAACTCTTCTGATCGGAAGATTTATTACATCTAAAGACCATTACTTTTAAATTAAACAAGTCTTTGTCTTTATGGATAGTTTGTTTGAACAATGTTATTTAAGTGGTAGCATATTAAACTCTTTAATAAATTCGTTTAATCAGTGTAGAATGTAACATGTAGATTGAGAAATACATAGACTTTGGTGTCTCAGATATTCAATATGATAAGTGAATAGTCTTCCCACTAAACTACTATCCAAATGTATGTGGTGAACAGCCATTATATTAATATACTAACCAAAATTCTCTTGTAATGTTCAACTAAATCTTAGAGTCTATTTATCTAGGTGTTGCCGAATACATTTTTGGCAGAAGACAGTTTAATTCTCATAACGTCAATATAGAGTCTTTTTTATTAAAAAACTCCATTACCACTGAATCTTCCACTTCACTTATTTAGGCTAATTATTTGCAAGTATATACTTGCTAAGGTGGTCGCAAGAATAGTCGAATTCTATTACAAAGGCTAAGATCTCTAGAACGATAACCGCTGGCATACTTTCTGCCATTTTGATTTTCCGCACGACCTTTGCCCTCTGATTGGCTGTTATATTCTGCTACTACAGTAACAACTCTTGTACCAGTTTCATTTGAGTTGCTTGTTCTACCACAAATATCAAGTTGCGTGCAATCCCATCTTCTTCCTGTCTTAGCCGTTGAGGTTTGGTTTATCGAGTATAATTTACTGTTGTCAGTTCTGGGGAGAACTGACCGTATTAGAATAGCTCAATCGGCGAGACTATAATTTATGGTCGAATCAATCAGGTTTAGGATAACAAGTCTTGGATTTTGGCGCGAAACTCATCCAGCCATTTGGTTCAAGATCATTTTGGGATTTCAGCTGATGTTAGTTCGTGATGAAAACTAAATTTAATTCCTAACCCTAACTATCATCTGTAAGCCACATTCCTTATTCTTCACACAGGTTTATAACTCCCATGTGGCCGTAACAAGTAGGTGGGCATTCTCAAGGCCACTTTGACGTCGCCCAAAGGTCGTCCATAAATTATAGTCTCACCGCTCAGTCGTTTCCGTCCCTAAATCCGTCACACCGTAGGCCAATAACAAGACGCAACAATACTTTAAATATATTTAACAAATGATTATAAAAATCTATAAAATAGTCATTCCGTTAAATTAAAACATAGATGTTGACTATACAAAGTGAAACATTTGAGAGATAATGCAACACAACCTGGCATGGTTCCTTCTTTCGTCGAAACAGTGTTACCTACACCAGTAGATTAAGCATGTTTATTGGAGTTTTGGATAAATGAACACAGAGTGAAATGGGCTTTAAAGAAGATTGGTTTTTATTAATTCATACTGTGGTGTGTGCTAGTGATGTTGACAGATGTAAGTGGTATGTATCATCACCAACCGAAAGTGGAATGCCTGGCGGCAGAAGGTCGAAGAGAAGAAAATGAGAACAGAGAGTGGTTAGTATGGAAATAAAGGGACAATAAAGTCTAAGACAATTAATGGACATTCTGCAAATGAAGTATTTACTGTATGGTTCTCAGATTTTACTGAGAAATTTTGCAATTTTGTATTCAAGTATATTCCGTTATCCCCACTTGGGACCTCGTTTACTACAATACCATGACCATATATATATATATTATAGTGGCTTTGCTTCGCTAATCGATCAGCCCGATAACCGTTATAATATAAATCTCAACGGTGTTTAAAATCAGAAGGCAATGAGAGGCGGCAACTACAGTTTATTAGCGGATAGCGCAGACCATATAGCTATAAGCAGATCGAGCGAATTTGAAGCGGAGAGGCGAATAAGTACATACCAGCAATCAAATAAGCAAATTTATAGTCAAATTGCATAAGGGCACAGCAACACAAAGTAAAATCTAATACTATAATTTGAATACATATACATACATGGGGAGGAGGATGAGTCATTGAATGATATTTAACCGATCAACATTTTAGTTCGAGTCTGTCATGTGATCTGGTGATCATAACAGTATAAAGAAATATGCGGATTGTTATTGTTCAAATAACATTGTCTGTTAAATTAATAAAAGGGCTTAACCAAAATCATAAGATTATAGAATAGTTGCTATAATATATTAGTTTTAAATATCTGCACAGTAATTAAATTTGAATGTATTGAACGGGGATTAGTTAACATCAATTAATCAATAATTCAGTTTATGTATTTAATTCACAAAATCAATTGATTAGCTGCTTTAACTAAAGCAAAACTAAATAGTTGAGTTCTATAGTTTTACTGATTACTAGTAATATATATGATCATTTATTTTACTGCTTTACAAACGTCTCATTGATTTTGATATTAGTTTAATTAGTAGATAGGTAACTTGACAAAAAAAGAAAATCTTAATAATGGTTAAAGAAACAGTTAATTCATAACGACTTATAGTGATTGTGACTTAATGATAATAATGGGGCAATCCACACAAGATGCACATATACCAATGCAGTCCTAAATATCAATGTGAAGATCCAAACAATCAGTAAAAGATGTATTAAACTTCACCTAATTGCACAAGGTGATGGCTATCTAAACTCAGTAACTAAGTAGATAACGTGGTGGTTTATAATGAATGGCACTGAGTACAAGCTCCAGAGTAAACATCAGCTCTGGGATCAAGGTATATCCGACTGATGAGCCCTAAATAGGATGAGATCCGCTTCCTAAATCCCTCTGTTAGCACCATCCATCTCTTCTCATAAGAGTTGATATTCTTTCTCCTATAGTTCATGGTTAATTAGTATTCTTTTTCGAGATTTTCTAATGCTTGGAATTAAGTTCCATCTAATTTCTTTTGTTAGCTTAACACGAAACTGAAACAAAAAGTGAAAACCTTTCTAGCTTAATATTTATTATTATTATTATTTCTTGATCGATCCTGATGATGAATATTAAGTTATCGCAAGTTACATGTTAGTAGTTCAGGAATCAACATTTGAATAATGTTCATTCTTTTCAATGCATATTACCATCCACCATGATCTCTCTGACTGTACTATTTTGTAACTTGTAAGGTGATAGGTCGCAAACTTCTCATAAATGCGCCTGAATAGGTTATGCGATTATTAGACGTAAAGATGTTTTAAAGCAAAAAAAAAGAGATGACTTGTTGAAATATTTAGATGGCAGCAGCAGGTAGCCCAGATATTCAAGCAGGCCACCAAAGTCAAACAAGTGATCTTGCGCTTTCATTTATACATTCATTAACTACTGAACTTCTGGTAAACTTCACAGATAATGGCCAAACTAAATGTTAAGAATGACCTATTTTATTTCATTGTGATTATTGACTCAAGTTGCCTTCATTGGTTTAACATTTCCGTATAAATATTCATGTATATTAGAGTAAAGCCTGATGACGATCTAATTGAAAACAATTGTTCGCTTATATGTGTTGTTCTAATTTTCACAATGGGAATCTTTAATATCCGAAAACAAATAAAGCAAGTCGAACAGTTTTTATTGTAAAAACTATCATATATTGACGAGTCCTAATAAGCGATTCAATGATCGCTTTGAGGATATTTGTGTCTATATTGAATAAATTCACATTGATGAAAGCAATATTGAAAAAGTAATAGATTTATTTGAGATTACGGTTTAATCTGTAAAGCAATGATGAAAATTCAGGAGATTTCTTCTAATGAAAGTCATTCCTTTAGGACTACAAGACTTATATTCACTAAAAGATGGAAAAATGTGTTTCCCAAATTCTTGAGAGAAAACCTTATTCACTAACTACCGGATATCAGCTGGCGCAATTATTCCTAACCAGTTGTTCTATGCGTTTTGTATAAGGAAAAGATTTGTTACCAGAAAATCTATAAGATTCGAAGAGTAAGCATTTAGGACTAGCAGAATAAAAAATGTTGTTCGGTATTCTACCTCAAAGAAGCATATCTGGTAACAAATTGTCCTACTGACGTTTCGTAACTTGGTATAAGCCACTTCTTCAGAGTAAATACATAACCCAATACTCAATTTATTTGAAACTATTAAGTTCAACCTTGGCACTGATACCCACAAGCATAGCTAGTGTTTACAATTTTTTCCGGTAAAAAGACGGTTGTTAATAACTTGTATGGATAGCACAGTTAATGTATGTCAATGGTTTGGTGCAAGTGCTAGTGTCTAGAGCGAAATTGTGACCACGTAACAGATTATAAAGCATCTCATCAGAAAACTGTGTAACAGCTGCTGTATCAATGAAAAATGTGATATAGTAGGGACCAAAAGATGAATAAGTTGCGGTCTTCATGAAGAATATTTCTCAACGAGATGTTAGTTTTTTATCTCAGTAAACGGAATAAACCCATTCAGACACAAAAAAGATAGGTTCACTGAAGAGTTATCTTTTTGAAGAATTCGTTTTCAAAGCTGTATGACCTCAAACATAAATGCTTATTTTCAAGACAATGATAGAGTAAATTAATAAAATTGCTATTGTTGAAAACTTGTTTATTCATTATGAAGATAAAAAAATCTTATTTGAAAGGAGAAGGCTCAGCGCGATAAGATAAAATGTTGAAATTGAGATGGATCGCAGTCAGGAGGATCATAGAAACAAGTAAGTTGAGAGGCTAAAGTTCTGTAGTAGAGAAGATGGTCAGGAAAGAGATGTCTGTGAGGAAAGAAAGAAGAATATGAGTTACGAGAAATTAAGACCATGGTTGTACAAGCTTATTTTGTGAATATAATCCTGGAGTTTTCAAATGTTTAGCAAGCGCTAAGAAGACGAAAGCTTACTATTTTCGCAGATCTCTTGCCTTGCAGATGACTTTGAACATAGAGTTCGTTTTAATCGGATGACCTATGTTCACATGCCGTTTTACTTTAGAGCGTTTTACTGAACCATTTCTGCTCCTTCACAACCAAGCCGAGTAGTGTTTTTGGACTCTTTTGGATAAAATACATATCAAACAACCTATATACCTAGCTCTACATGGACAAGCAAATCGATAAATGCGTACACAATCGATCAAATGAGGGAGTTTATCCTTTAGACTATTACCGAACA